GGAGACATGTGCAAAAAGAGAATGAACAAAGGAAAAAAAGGGGGAATAAAGGGGTTGAAGGGGAAAGTTCACTACCATCCGTTGGCACTCCAGTCTTTTTTTGTCCAAACAAAAAAAAAATAATAATAATAAATAACAAATCCGGACTGTAGGTTATTGCGCAAAAAAAAAAAAACTTACATGTACGCAACACTAGACCAAAGGTGGTCCATCAATAATAACATAAGGGATATTCCACCGCAAGGAAGTACTATTGTCGTGCCAACGCCAACATCATTAGAGAAAACTCCACGTAGCTGAGGGTCTCCGGTGGCTTCGAGGCACTGTCAGGGGCTTGTCCGATGGTGGCCCTGTAGTCCTCTGCTTTGGCGCGGTATGGGCGTCTTTGAAAGCTCTTTACAAAATTCCACACTACGGTTTCGTTACATGGAACACCGCAGCTATCCAACGCACAAATGGGGTGGTCATGTGGCCAGAGTAGACGGGTTTCCCTGCAAAGAGTGCTGCGATGACTTCCGCTTGCCTCCAACTCTTTTTCAAGGATGAGTTGCACCACATCACTTATGAGAACTGTCTCCTCACCAGCAGAGATGGCAAGGAAGATGGGGTACAATTCGGCGTCGGAGATGCGGACACCAGAACGCGCCGCACGTTCCCTGATACTCTCCGAGAACTTTCCAACCTTGTCAAAGGGGCCTTGATTGAAAGTGGCACCCTTGACCATGGCCAAGACTGCAGTGGTAATCGCTCTCTTCTCACACAAGGGAGCCGCTGGAGGTTTTTCCTCGCCTCTTCTTGCCTTCTTGTTTTCATCTTCGTCTTGCTCCACCTCCTCCGCCTCTTCTTGGACAGTAACGCCGGCATCAGAGGGTACGGAGGACGCTCCTTTACTAGCAGAAATGCGTTGCCGCTCCTCAATCTCAATGCGGGTTTTTGCCATCTGCGTCACCTCCAGAATTTCTCGACAGAGCATGGACGACTTCAGCGAGTTTTCATCCGAAGTGACAATAATAACCTGCCAAATGATACCACTGTGCTGTACATAATCCTCCACCGTCTCCACAATAATCTTACATACATGAAACACAACTTCCTCCTGGCGATCCTCCTCACCACTGCCCCAAAGAAGACCCACACACATCGATACCACCATGGCTGTGTCAAATTCAAGCATCAAGCAGTGAACACCGTGTAGTTCCGCGGTTAGAAGACCTTTTAATACCCAGAGACGCAAACGTTCAGCTGCCAGAGTGTTGTACACCTGCAACGGCGCACACTCATCGTCTCTTGGCACAAAAGCAGCAATTTCATCATCTTCAATATAATTTATTCCTGGTTTCCTTCGACATAAAAGCATACGAATGCAATGAGCCACCTGAGCAATTGGTTCAGGACCTGTTAATTCCTGGCCAAAGTAGCGAATATCGTATGCGCCCTGTCGCCACTTGTTAATCATATCTGGAAATCGTTGCATTACATAAACCCGTTGCCGCATCCGTTCACCTGTTGCATAATACGAGCACCGCACACGATTATCCATAGGGAGTTGTGTATAGGCTTCAAGAGTTTCTTTTACATCATACTTGCCCACAGGACGATGTGAGGCAAGAAACAGGGTAACAATATCTGGGCCAACCCCCTTGTCCTCAAGCCATGCAGGTGCAATACCTTCCAGTACCATCAACCATGCGTCAAACATACGCCGAATGCCTGAAATTCCAAGAGTATCTTCCAAGGCACGATCCGGTAGACTTTCACTGGAGGCTGACGCCTTTGCGTACAGTTCAAGCTGTCGTTGAAGGGAATAGTACTGTTTGTGCGACACATACACGGAACGCAGGCGAAAGAGAGGAAAATCCCTCACCAAATGCATCTTCACGTGCTCGTTAAAGGACTCATTTCGAAAAACCATGCGAAACAGCGCAGTAGGAATAGTCTTATCACTCGTATTGCCGCTCTCTGGCAGTTGGTAAACAACAAAGCAGTATTCAGGCAGAATGGGGTGAGCAGCGCAGGGTGCTTCGTTGAAGTTACCACCAAAAATGGCAGCGTACTCGTGGGAAACCTTCACCCCTGTGTCACCGCACAGCTGAGGCATAGGCACAAGCACAAGCCGCTCCACCTCATCCAGAACCATACCGTAACGCATGACATCAAACTGACGCTTGTGCAACGCCCTCGTGTGAATGGGGTGGCTTTCCATCGCACGACGCACGGGGTGAAAGGAGTAGTCAACAGATTTTGCTAGCACATCAAATCGGAGCGTCAGATCACTGATATGCAGCATGGCGTCCGCGACAGACCCAGGGGTGAAACCCGGTGGCACTAACTCTGCATGTGGTGAATCCCACATAAATGTAGAAAGTGGGGATACTGATTGCAAAACTGCCTCCATCTTTGCTTCTTCTTCTTCTTCTGTGGGTTTTGTTTGCCTTTTGTCCGCTTTTCTGTACGGTAAGTAGTTGTGTCTGTATATCGGTTTCCCCTTCACTGTTTTGGGAAAAGCTGTAGCTTTAATTTGTTTTATCTCTTCCTCCCTCACTCTCGTGTGCCCCTCAACACCACCTCGACACTGCAATGAGATGCCTAATACAGCTACTAAACGAATACCTATAGAACGGGATATAAAAAGCGGAAAAGAGAGAGGAGAGGAGGAGAAGAAAGGAATAACAGAATGCGGATATTTATGGATGTCTTTTTTTTTATTATTTCATTCGTGATTGCCTTGAGACGGCAGGAAAGGATCCGTCGTCTCACATAAGGCATCCCATGCTTTCATAGTCACGGAGTCAGGAAAAATGGAAAGGAGAAAGCAGGACGCATAGTGGGAGGTACACCGCTCCTCATGGAACAACACCTGCCCACAATCACAGACTCCCCACACCTGCGACAACTCACGGCCAAGTGGCAACGGCGTTAAAAATATCGCATGCCGCCTTGTAGAAGACAGAAATATTGTGATCGATCAGTGTTCTGTTACGAAAGCACTCCTTCTGAGCCATGAGCACCACGGTGAGAGAGTTGGGCAACTCCTTCACATAAATGTAGTCATCACTGCTAATTTTTATGACGGCATTTGCCCCTGCACCAACAGCCGCCTCAACGCTCTCAACACAATGGGCATTTTCTAAGCCGTTGGCTGCAGCATCCGTCGCACCAGTAACCGTGGTGATGGTAGTGGTGGTGGTATCATGACCTTTTTCTTGCCTCTCCTTTGTGCAGGGGGCGTAGATTTGGCTCATTTTCATCATTACTTCAATGGCATCACTGCAAAGGTCGTACGTTCGCAGCTTTGCACGACTGCGCTCATCGACGGCCAAAAAGATTTTGGACCTACTAAGGAACAAATAAGAGAGATCTACGTTGCTGTTACTGTTCAGCATCTGCAAGAGTTCTGTAATGTATGGAGACTGCGGCTTGATAAGCTTTTGCACCACCAAAGAGAAGGCTTGAAACACCGAATGATCATAAATAGAGGTTAGGTTAAAGTTCACCCGCAACGGTACCGCGCTCTCCAGATGCTGTTTGACCTCCAACTCCACATGGCGCTGCAGACTGGCGAGAAGGTCCGCCTGGTGGTCCTCGCTGAGGGCATCCACCTTGTGAATAAACACCTCCACCGAGAGCTCCGGGTTGTATCGGTAGGCAGCGCACACCGTGTCAATTAGACGCGCGCGGGAATCCTCAATCAACTCGCGGCAATCCATCACAAAAACAATGACGCCACAGTTCTCAAGTAACTGTTCCACATCAAACGGGCCCGTGTTGTTGGGGTCAAAGGGGTCACTCTGGCCTGGAAAATCCCACACCTCAAAGTTCACAAAATCGTTGGAGTGTACCCTGCTCTTATCCGGCTGAACTGTCGTCGGGAGGTTGACAGAGTCGTGCGGCTGCATCCCCTCAAAGACAACCTTCTGAATGCTGCTCTTCCCTGACTTTCGCAGCCCCATCAGAAGGACCTTCGGCAGCGAAAGGAGTTCTGAGGACATGGCAGGACCCAGTAAGGCAACTGAAACCAGCGTGCAGGGTCACTAAGACCTCTCTCCCGGGCAAACAAAAGAGAAAACGCAAAAACAGCAGCAGCGCACCACCAAATGGGAAGAAAGAAGGCAATAATACTAACAGTAAGAACAAAAGTGAGAGAAGCAAGAGAAACAACCATAACAAATGTATTATTCACATAAAAGAAAAACATTAGATAGATAGATAGGAAGGGAGAGAGACTCCATTGTGTCTACGGAAACGCAGCAAAAAAAAAAAGGAAGAACCACATACACGCTAAAAGATCAATGATAAAGTGCAATGCAGTGGGGGGGGCAGTCATCATCATCTAACAACCCCTCCCCACCTCCCCACCTCCCCCCCCCCCGCAAAACAGAAAAAAGGATCGATTTAAACGAGGTGTCTATTCCTTTCCTTTCTTTTTTTCTCCTTTTCAATTTCCTCGACGCCCTGCCCAACGTCCCACACCTCACACCTTGTTTAGCATTTATGTCGTCCCTCACACAGATGCCATAGCTGCTCTACAAAATAGCAGCAAGACTCTTCAATTCCTCTCGCACGTTCTCTACAACCAAGGTCAGCGCGGAGCTCCCAAGGCGACGAACGTCATGAATCAAACGATTGAGAGCGTAAAGCAGCTTTTGGAGGGACACAGAAAGCTCTTGACGATCCAAAAGTGCCAGACTACGCGTGCTCAAGTGGAGACGTGCGTACCGCAGAAAAAGGCTCAGCGCCAACTTTACAATCTCAATGTGTAGAGCAATGCCTTGGCTACTTCCCTCACGGGACTCCGTCTCCATGATGCTGTCCACGCTGGCGACAGTCGTGAAACTGGAGTACAAAGAGGGTGTGTGTTCTGGCGAGTAGGAGACTTTGGCACCAGGTGAACTATCCTGATGACTCCTTCGAACGATGTTTATTTCACGCAAAATAAAAGAGCGAAGTACATCCAACGACAATAACTCTTCCCTCTTCACTTCCCCCTCATCGTCCACCACACCTTCTTGAGGTGAGCCACCAGCTGGAACGGCAGAGCCGTTTATCGGTGAAGTGCGATAGCGCTTTATGGTGACAACGAACAGCTCCTCGTCTGAAAACGCGGGTGGTGGAAACTGTTGGATAAGGTAGAAAAGTTGATCGCGTACCACCGCCACAAGAAGGGCCTCAGTGACTCGCTCATCGACTACTGTCATGGTCTGAATACGATATCGTCGTATGCGGCAAAAACACCGTTGTACATGTGGGGTTAATGAAGCCGTTGAAACCCCAAAACTGGCCAACAAGGCAATAATTGAGGTACACAGCTGCATCTCACGCACCTCCCAGGGAAATGGTTTTGTCTCCTGTACGTTGCTGCGGGACATGAAACATGAAATAGCATCCTGAAACCGTGGGCTTGTTACCGCCAGGGTCAAAACGACGTCTAACCACTCAGAACGGCTAAGGCGATTTGCCTCTACATTCACCAACACAGTTTGGAGTAAACAAAGCACCGATAGCCACGCCCTGTGCCATGCCTGTGGTCTATACAGGTTTGCAACAGGGTCGTAAACAGTTGCCTGATTAAATTGTCCCAACGCATTTGCCATAGCCATCACGCGTGTGTGCGAGAAGTAGACAGTCAGCTCGTCAGTGTACAGGAGTAGAGTGATTACTGCGTCCACAACATAGTCAAAAAAGTCGGACAGGGCAGAGGCAGGCTCCGTGACAAGAATCATATGTGATACATGAGTTGCGCATGACCACAGACTCTCCACACTTCTAATCGCACACCGCACAGGAGCAAACTTACCAATGCGAGTGTAGATGATACCACATCCAAAAATTAGTGTCGCTAAAGCCCTAGAAGGGGCTACCGTCACATGTTTCTCCAAAACTTCTGCAATTAGTTCAAACAGTTGTATTGCCGTTCCTTCATCCGAGGCCTCAGAGGGTTGAAAGGCCGATAAAATACTTAGCCCCTGGCAAACAACATCAATATTATCACGGTTGGAGACCATTAATTTTACAAAGGTTCGAAAAAGGTCATTTAATCCTGTTGTTGAAGGAGTCAAAACACTCTCCGCCAAAGCCTGCATGTGCACAGACGCTGCTCCACGCGCGAGCGACAGCCAGCCCTCAAAACTAAACCACATTAAACCACGCAAAGGGTTTGCAGTGGGCCCCACCATTTGTATTCCGTCGAGTGAGAGATTCAATAGTTTTATCGCAGTGGAGGATGCCTCCCTCTCACCATATGTGAGCCATGCAACTGCCTCTAGAGAGGCTGTGAGGCGCGTAATTGCCTCCAGTGCCGAGGCCATTCGGTTCAATAAAACAACATTATCATCATCCTCCTCCCATAATAGAAACGAATCTCCAAGAAGCATGGGTTTTAGTTTTAAGTTTCCAGTGCCTGGTTGCATGGGAAGCACGCGAGGTCCAATGGTAGGGACAGTGGACAAGCTGGAGGTAAAGTCCTGCGCGACTCGTGAAGGAACAATTTGCTGCGTGTTCCTCTTGCTAAGGGTGTCTACTGAAAGAAAAGAATCAACCCTGTCGTTGGCAGGCCCAAGTTCCCCTTCTGTGGCCCGGTAAAAGGCAATACACTCCTTCAACGCATCACTTCCTGCGTCAAGCATCGTACAAATTACCGCCGCATTTCCAGATATTTTTTTGCCTTTTTCAGTTTGAATCACTGGACGACCAGGACTTCCTTGCTGCAACCCTCCCTCATCCCCATACTTTATGTTTCTGCCTCCCTCCAAACGCATTTTATTAAGTAGAACTCCACATATGTAATTTATCACAGCCGCTGCAAAGGCACTCTGAACGTACGCCGGGTCACTTTTGGCACCTACCATCAAGTTGACGGCCTCAGTGATGGAGTAGCTCACATCTTCAAGAGCTCGAAGAAGCTCAAAACATTCGGCTTTTTCAAGCGGGTTAAGTTCCCCACACTTTATTTTGTCGCGTAGAATGCGGGTGAGGGGCAGCTCAGATGAATCATCCCCCGCTTCTGTTTCTTCTGGAAGAATCAAGTAGTAAAACGACGCCGGATCGTAGCGAAGCAGGTAGCGAAGAGACACCAACCGAATAACATTTATGGAGGCGTTGAACGGCGTCGGTGGCTGCAATTCTTGATGAATGAATGACAATAACATGCGTCGCAGCTCCGCGGAGGTGTGAAAACGCATGGTGGTGAAAAGTTTCTCCTGCGAATGTTCCACAACATACGCCAGTAGTCCTGCTGTAGACTCCACCAACGAGGCTGAGGCGTTGGAAGAGAACAAAATGCAGTAAAGCATAAAACACGCTGAAAGGGTATTCTCGCCGTACGTCGCAATCACGCAGGTGGCCAGTGTATTGTGATGTCCCTCCTCAGAGACAGCAGCAGAAAGAAGACGAATCGCACCTTCTAAAAGAGGTATGGCTGGTAATGAGCAAAGAAACATATTTCCCGACTGAAGCTCACGCAAAAGTACAAAAACCCCTTCACAGAGACGAGAAATCAGCTTCGCTGTGGACCCCTCACTCGACAGTAGCGACGACAGCGGATAAGGCGCCTCCAACAACACCACTTGAACAGCAGACAACCATGGGACGAAAAACTCCACCGCGAAGGAAGAACAGGTAATAAGACCAGGAGAAATGTGCGTCACGGCCTCGACAATTCCACCAAGCGGCACCGCATTTTCGTAGTTCTCATAGAGTATAGCATACAAGTTCAGCTGAAGCAATGCGATTTCGGTGGATTCCCACCGCACTCCCACCCCTCGCATCAAATCAGGTAGGAGGAGTTTAGAGGCGGCATAGGCGATATTACCCAGCTGGTGATGAAACCTAGAAATGGTACCGTAAAAGGTCTCAACAAAGTCCACCTCCCCATCGATAGATTCTGTTAACACCACGGTGGCCAAACGATGCAGAAGTGAGTGCAAATTTGATCCAATAACTTCTTCCAAGTCCTTCTGATAATTGGAATAATTCAACATAAACGCATGTAAAAGGCAAAAAGCACTTCTCACAAGCACCTTCTCCCTTCCACGAAATGCTCCCCACCCCATTGCTAAAAGACGAAATGTTCTTTTCAAGGGCGAATCCGATATCACCATTGTTACTCCCTCAGTGTTACGAGAGTGAGCCGCCGTTTCATCTTCAGCAACTTCCACCGGTACCGAGTTGTTCGTAATATAAAGTGAAGCACCTTTATCAAGAATTGCGTTTTCCTCCTCTTTCAATACGCCAAACCCAACATGATACGCCAAAGCAGACGTGTAAAAATTAAAAAGTGAAACGGCATAAAGACTGTTTCCTTCCATAAGGTAATTCTGTATGTGGCGCCGCAACAGCAGCACACCGGAGGGCATGTAATCCCACAAAGCTGCGTGCTGTGCAATCCCCTCCAGAGCGGAGAGGAGTGCCTTTTCTGTGAAGTAGTCCCAAAATTCGGCTGAAACCCCTGAAAACAGATCATATAAAACAGCAGCGAATCGTTGCCGTACAACCGCGAATGCAGCTGAGTGAACGCCATCGTCACGAAAATACGTCGCTGTAAGCGTAGTGTAAACAGTTGTTGTGAATACAACCTCTAGTGTCGCGCGAAGCAGCTCCGATTTGTCATCGGTCCTCTCCCTCAATGCAGGCACTCTTGCAAGGACAATCATCAGATGAGGGGAATCCAGACTCGTGTTGTGAGTGCACAAAACTTCAAGTGGTAGCAGGTAAGAATAGTTCGCTAAGAAAGCAGAAATGACAAACGCACAGCGTCGCACCACTATGGAAGCGTGACTATCCCACATATGTTGTACTAACGCACCAAACTCTCGCAGTACATCCTTTGGAGGACACCGTAGAGCATGTTCACCAAAGAATAACACAACATCGCAGGAAATCCTAAGCAGACGTAATTCATTATGCGACTCCAATTCACTCTCTTGTTCTTCGATAACTTCCCAAAGCCGTGAAATACCTCTCTGCATAATACCATAAAAGTTCAAATCCTCCATTTTTTCAATCAGAGAACCCCAAAGCGGAATGTTTTTGTAACTCTGTCGTGAATGTCGTAAAAGAGCAAGAAATATACTCAGCTCAAGGAGGTGCATCTGGTTATCTAACTCATTCTCGCCCAAAGGGAAGCTCAGAGCTGTTTGAAGCGCGCGCACCTCATCTGTTGTCCCCCGTGCAGTGGAATAAGATAACGCCGATGCATCCTCCTCAAAATTCCTTGTCGCAGTAGACCGTTTTTGATCCTGCGAAGACGAGTACGGGGTCAAAATGGCATCCGGTGTGGAAAAACGAGAAAGGAAGTCCCTCGAGACAAGCTGAAGATGACGCAGAAAGGCGTCTGGATCGTCCTTCCTTGGTGCCAATAGAAATGGCGCCACCCGGTTAGCCAAGCAAGAGAGAAGGCTAGATCCGATCATGGGATTCCGCATTGATGCCCCCGCCTCCTCCGCCTCCTGCTATTATATTCTCGTTTCCCGCCCACCTGCCTCTTAGGTGCCGCAGAATCGGTGCGTTTACTCTTCCGCCCCGTCTAGCCTTTAAAGATAAACACGCTCTCCTCGTATTGAGGACTGGCCCTTCCCTCCTTCGTGATGCTGCTGTTCCTTGCGCTGTGTATGCTCCGAGCCAGCACACACACACACACACACAGAGAGAAAGAAAAAAAAAAACAGCCAAATTAACCAATTCGCGAAGCACAAAGAAATAATATATTTATTTAAACTCACGGTCTCTCAGCAGGTTGCGTTTGACACCAAAACAGGGCGTCTGTCACTCCTCCACAATCTGTGCCGACGAGTCAAAGGAAACGGAGAAAAGCGAAAACGTCAGGATGTCTCATAAGGTGCCAAAGGGGGGAAAACAAAAATTTAAAATAAAAAGAAACGGAATGCGTGCACCCCACGTAGCTCCTTTTTCACTAGGAGTTATATCTATCAACCAAGGCATTTCATTTTATTTTACAATTTCATTTTATCCTCTGCGCAAGCACACTTACATACCCTCCCTTCTCTTAATATAGAAAAATATAAATACCTTCAGCCCACTCTGTTAGTTATCCAAACTCCTCTTACTCTGGCGCTTAGAACATACGCGGTGGGCTGCAGAGGGACTGTGGGTCGCCCCCCGATCCAAACACGTAGTTGGTTACCGTTGTTGTTATTGTCCTCCACTACTTTTTCATTCTCTCGTTTATGTTATTCCTCTTACTTCACTGTGAGTGTGTGTGTGTTTCTGGCATGCTTCTCCATCACATACGCGACGGTAAATAAATAACCACAAAAAAAAACATTAGCTACATGCATACATAATTATACGCGTAGCAGCATGTCGAGCGATGAAGCTCCATCTCCTCCTCTCACTTGCATTGTGAATGCGTGTGCCCACAGCGGCTTCTCAAAAGATGACTAAAGGAAGCCCACAGGCACGCCAACACAACAAAATCATTGCACGTGCTGGCGCACACTTACCTCCAACACATCCACACAAGAGCCACCAGCGTCAAATGTAGCAAAAATTTTGGTGTCCCTCAAAAACCTTTCGACGTCGTGAGAACAAACACCAAACAAATAAGATTGTGAAAAAAGAAGAGGGTGAGAGAATAAATAGCAGACCCTCTCGCTCCCCAAATACACACAGACACACACACATGCCTCATCACAAGTGACGTCAAAAGAATACTCAGGTGTCTGCAATGAAGGTTAATAACCCAACATAATAAAATCCATTACAAACAGTAGGGTCTTCATGCACACAAGTATACACATACATACGTACACATGTGCAGATATCCTTTGTTCCGAATGGGCGCACATCCGCGCCAAGTTAGGGGAAAGAGAAAAAAAGTAGACGGAATAACAAAAACAAAAACAAAAAAGAGATAGATAATAATCTCTGATGACAACACTAATACAGCCAAAAAAAGGGGGGCGCACAGTCCCTCTCCCCCCACACGACTAGTCCATTTTAGTTGTTAAGGTGGTTGTTTTTGTCTTCCCCCTTTCTATCTCGTATCTGCCTCCTCACGAGAAGTAATAGAGAGCAGTGGTATACCTAGGTAATAAGAGATCTGTGTGAAGAGCGACAGGATCATGTGCAAGTACTGCCAAACCCCCAGTGCAGCTAGCGCAACCATTGCGGAACCGAGTGACGGTTCCAAATACTTCACCTCCAACTCGCGAAAATTTGCGTGAACGACAAGACCCCCAAATGTAATGCAGAACGTGGCCAGATAAAAGGCGTTGAAGAGGCTATACGGCATTCCACATAACCGCGCCACCGTCATTCGAGTCACAGTGTAGGAAGTCAAGAATCCAAAACTCAACTCAAACGCAAATGGATACCTGTCATGGATTGAAGTATACGTCAAAAAAAGACATACATGAAAGAACAGTAAAAACAGCATGGGAAGCAGTACCAAAAATGGTGTCCCGCCAGCGTTCACGTTGGGTCTACAAACCACGTGCACAATGTTTGCCGCCACAGTCATACACCCCAGAATCATGACACACAAAAAGATAAGGCTGCGAAGACTGGATATAACAAAGGTCACCTCCCTAAAAAAAAGAGGCAGCGTTATTTCACACGAAGCCATAATAGGCATATCCCAAATAGAGTTTGAAAAAAGGCCGGTAGTGATAAACACGGCGCATGCCATGCATATACCCTCGGTAGGACCGTTGATATAACCAAGATCTAACGTGCCCGTGCTAAATTGCTCCCACATCGCCCCAAACAGAATGATGGATGACATTGTGCAATACGTAAACGTCGTCGATGATGGGAGGTTTAACGCACAACAGAGATTCACCTGAACTAATGGCGTCAGAAACGCATCACAACCGTGGTCAAATAATTCTCCGAGTGGGCCACCTGTTTTAGTTCGTCGTGCCTGTTTCCCATCTATAGCATCAAAAGTTTGGTACATAAACAAAGCAACCGCAGCATAGTACCACACCCATGCTGGATACACCGCATCATAAAAGAAGTAATAAAACATGACCAAAATGGAAGAAGATACACCAATAAGAAACCCCGTAAGGGTGATTGCATTGGGGGCCACAGTCATTGGCACAAGGCTCACAATAAAGTTCCAATATGGCTGCATAATGTAGCGTCCAAGAATGCTAGAGTCTGAACCACAATATTTGTATTTTTTCAAATTTGGCAAGTACTCCGGTGGAATGTGTTCGTGCACTTTCGGATTCATACTTATCCGACGTGGGTGGTGGCGATCCCCAACGACACCACAGCCACTACCAGCACCGCAACTCCCGCCACTATTCCCGCCTCCGCCAGCCATGGAATCTCAAAATGTGCTACTCAATTAAGACGTCAAGGTTAATCCTGCGGGCTTCCACACCTCCTTGGATCTATATCCGTATATGTGTCTGTCCTCTTTGTTATCTCTACCTCTAAGTGTAGGCGGTGTCTTCCGTTGGGGCCCCAAATGTTACTTTGTTTTTCCCCCTTCTGTTTATGTGGTATGGTGGATATGTCGGGGTGCTACAAGAAGAAAAAAAATAATACCACGTAAAATAAAAATAAAAAATAATGGCACGTACGTACCTTCACAGGCACTCAATACGGGCGTCAAAATCACATGCACTGCACGTATCCACCTCATGCAACACATCTTCATAATGGGCGCAGCACTCAATGCAGATGCACTTCCAGATGTACCACAGAGAGAACCACACTATCGCTATCAATACTTTTTTGAAGGTAGATAAGACCTCGTCAAATAAATATAATTCAAAAGAACAAATAAAAATATACGGTCTACTCATCAATCATACAAAGTATGCAAGCACACAGTATCCCCTTTTCGCTTCTACCTTACCTCTCACACAATGTTTTTTTTTTTTAGAAATTCGTGGTTGTTGTTTCATCCTGCTGTGAATTTGTAGCACATTTGTCCCCGGCCTTCGTGCAGCCACATACGCGCATTTGAAACAACGACGCGCAAACAAAGAAGAAAAAGAAAACAATAACAACAATCCTGCTTGTGACGACATTTTGCATCGATCCACACCGCGGAGATATGCCAGCCCACCACACTGCTCACCTTGTCCTGGATAGAAACAAAAAAGCGAAGTAACAGATTGTTCTATTTTGTATCCATTGTTTTTTTTTCTTCTCAAGTTTGTCCTTTTTTTTTCCCGTTTTCCACTGTGCCTTCCCAGATAAATTCAATGACCCGCACGAGGGCATTGTGCGTCCCCATTTAGTGTAGGTGAGGCGAGCAAAGCACTAGCCCCTCCAATAAGAAGACAGTAATAGGAAAGAAAGTCATATAAAGCACACATCATCCCCTCTCCATGAAGAAAGGCCATAAGGCAACATGTCCCCATCACCAAAAACAAGCTAAATGGAGGATAAATCAACAAAATATCAAAAAAAACAAAATCCATAAAAAAACAAAAACAAAAAAGGGGAAGTGGTGTTGCCTACTAGAGGCATGTACGTTGTGTCATGTTTGAGAAAGTGTTTGTGTTTCGTTTCCGTATAAAGGTGCTGTTCAAGAACAAGTATTTTCAGCCTCGAGAAAAATCCACACCATCCTTTTCGTGAAACATAGCCTTCACACTTAACTACCATAACCACTCCGTGCCCTTGCTGAAGGGCCCACAGAGCTAGGCAACCTGATAGGGTGCAGACATCTTTCATCACACTCTGCACGTTGCTTGAGTTTCACGATGTCCTGTCGGCACCTGTAGCAAACCATGCAGCGGCGGGTAAGACCGCGTTGGCCGCAACATCAAAAGCCGCACATTGAACAACGGCAAACGTCAAGTAGATGATCCCACCTGGTGGTCGTCGTTGGGCGACTCGTGCATTTTAGACGGCCGCATCTTCTTTGCCTTCACGGAAACTAGATTAATAGTTAGTATTAAAATTCATGGTGAAGATGCCCACGCACAAGCACCACCTCACAAACAAGGTGAGCTCAGTAGGAAGAACAAACAGCGGTGGTGGCGATGAAGGGGCGTAGCATCAGTAACAACATACGAGAGAAAAAGTTGATCATGATAAAAATAGGGCACACAAAGAAAATAAATAACAACAACATAGCGCACTTCCATAAAAATTCAAAACGCCCCCACCTTTAAAAATATACATATGTATATGATTCGTTTTGTACGTTTTTTTTTCCCCCTCTCGTATTGGCAGGTAAAGCGAGGGAAAAAGAGACCTGGGCAGACACGTAAGAAGTTGACAGCGCAGGTTGAAGCTTCATCCAAGCGAAGAAATAGCATGAGGCCTGGAAACAAATTACAGGGGGGCTGGCATCCATCAGCGTGCCTGTCATGGCAATACTGTTGTAGATGCGGACATAAACCGAAACAAACTAAGTCAAAGCATGCAGCTTGCACGCGCAAAGAGCTGCAGCACGGAAAGAATGCTCCTCGTACATACCGGTACCGACAGAAAAGCAACAGCCTCAAAATTGCGGGAAACTTATTCTGCTAAAATAAGCGAGAGTTTAAAAACACGTTACGGGGAGCAAAAAGAGTTCATCAAAACATTTTCTCTCCCTTCCAAAATGGCGCTATTCTCACACTATTCCTCTTTGAAACATCGTTGCTTTTTCTTTATTAGGTGTCATCTGTCTACTTTCACTCTCTCTCGCTTCAGCGCAGAGCAACGGATACGACACACCTCCGCCACGAAGCTGATGAAACGAAGAAAAGGTCGCGACATCAATTCCGGACAAAGTATCTAGCGTCAAGGGATTGTTAAAAGGACGCACTGATATAAAAGTCGCATCCACAGCACCTGATGCATTAGCTGCTACAGCTCCGTTTGAAGAATCGGTAGCAAATATTATATTAATATCACCCGTTGAGTACGATAGCATTTTCTCAAGTCGACGCCTTATCGTCAGATAGGTAGATGGTTCAAGCATGGAGCCAACGCTTCTTGGATCAAAGCACTCAACCACATAGGGCAAAAGATCATCATAGCTACAGTGGTAAAGGAGCATCTTCGCTGTGACAGTGGGGCACAGGCTCCAGATGGCAACAAATGTTTTTTTTTGTCGTGGCGAGCCCCACTCCCTTATCTCTATCGCAGCGTCCTGAAAGAGGTTGGAATGCAAAAGCTCACGTTCAAACCCATCCTCCATCATCAACTCCATAAATTCCGTATAGTAAGAGGGGTATGAGCCTTTGGTGGTTTCGAGTTCACCAATAATATGATTTGTAAACAAAGTGCAAACTTGGTCCTTATCAACTTGAGGCTCATCCAATGCCTTTCGAAGAGCGGGTAGACCCTCAGCTGCTTTTTCAATAATTTTGCGCACAGCTGCATCTCCTGGAAAATGAGAGTACACAAAGGGCCTTAAATTGTCCGACTGCCACTGAAGAACCTGCGAGATCAGCGGCAACGGTGCCACTGTTCCCTCCATGCCAAGAAGATACACTGTTACCTTGTCCTCACCAAGCAGACTCCTACGCCTCCTCATCACAAATTCCGTTTGTGACTCCGCCAGTGACGTCGAAACGCTGGCTATCTCATCTTCACGTTTCGGATTCTGCACAAGGTCGTTAAGGAGGTTTTGTACTTTATAACCTACTTGTGCCTGTTTCATCAGTCAATTATTTTCTACACACAAAAACACTCTAAGTTCCTTGAAGTTCATGTGTGTGAGAGAAAAGAAAAGAAAAAAAAATGTAAGCGCGTTCAACACGACAGATGAAGCAGTTGGCAAATTAAGAGAACAATAACAATAATAGTATAAAAAACAAACGCCCCAACAACAGAGCGTGCTCTAAGCCGGGGGGGGGGGGGAAGAGAAGGCAAGTTACACGTAATTTCAGGCTGTCGTCACGCTTTTTTGCCCTCTCTTCCCCCCCCCCCCACCCTTTGATTTCCTTCTCATTTTCCTCTTCTTTGCTTGTCTCCATATTTGTTTCTCTTCCGCAACTTCACCGTCTATTAAGATCATTTGTTTTTCGCTGTCCTCTTTGGTAGCCAAGTGTGCGTGCGTGTCCGCGTCAACGGGAGAGCGAAGGCTATCTGCCCTTCTTCCACGTCCCAGGCAAAGGCGCTCCCCCACCTCGTCTTGAGAGGCGAGAAGCCTCTCCGCCCTCACACTGCCGTCTATCTGACGACGGCAACGCCACCACGTAAAAGCACAACTAAGTAGACTCCATTACGCACACATATATTACATATGGAAATGGATATAACTGCGGCCATGCATCCATAAAGTCACATCGAGAAGTTACAAGAGAAAAGATAGCAAAAAAAAAACCCTCACAGCACCGCAAACGCATACAAGGAAGGAAGGAAGGAAAAGATATAGACCAGTGTGGAGACACGTGTACATCAAAGGAAGCAAAACATAAAATAATAATGATAATCAGCAAAGAATGCTGAAATGAAGCAGGTAGGAAGTAAAAGAAAAGATGATGGAACAGCTTTAAAAAAAAAAAACCTTTCTTCCTAAACTCCCTTCACCTACCACCTCCACACTCTGTTTTTCGAGAATT